CAGCGTCTTGATTTCTCCAACGCGCAGTCCTCGAAAGTCCCGGCCCATTTCCGGCTCGGTTTTTCAACCTGGGATGTATTTCCCCAAACAGCTTGCTGAACGGGGTGCTGTTGTGATAGAAGCTAACTCTGGCCGAGGGAAGTCGGAGCAGAGACATCCTCACAAGAATTTGATGGTCCGGGCCGTTTCACTTGAGACATCATCACAACTCTCGTTTCTGAGTTGGCCGGGATTGGCCGTTTCGTCTGAGACATCCTCGAAAAGTTGCGCTCAGGGACGCCGCGCGAGAGGTGGTCCAGGCCGTTTCGCTTGAGACATCCTCGAAGTTCTGAGCCCCGAGGTGCCGTGCGAGAGGTGGTCCGGGCCGTTTTGCCTGAGACGTCCTCGAAACTCTGAGCTCTGAGATGCTTTGCGCGAGGTGGTCCAGCCCGTTTCGCCTGAGACATCCTCGAAATTCTGAGCTCGGAGATGCCGCGCGAGAGGTGGTCCGGCCCGTTTCGCTTGAGTCATCCTCGAACTTCTGAGCTCTGAGATGCCGTGCGCGAGGTGGTCCGGCCCAACTCGCCTGAGACATCCTCGCAACTCTGAGCTCTGAGATGCCGTGCGCAAGGTGGTCCGGCCCGTTTCGCACAAGACATTCTCGCAACTCTGAGCCCCCAGATGCCGCGCAAGAGGTGGTCCAGCCTGGGGGCCCAGAAGACCACATGTTACAGATTCTCCCTGGGACCCTGGGAGCCCGCCTGAGACATCCTCGAATTTCTGAGCTCTGAGATGTCCTGCGCGAGGTGGTCCGCCCGTCTCGGCTGAGACATCCTCGCAACTCTGAGGTCTGAGATGCCGTGCGCAAGGTGGTCCAGCCTGTTTCGCATAAGACATTCTCGCAACTTTGAGCTCCCAGATGCCGCGCAAGAGGTGGTCCAGCCTGGGGGCCCAGAAGACTACATGTTACAGATCCTCCCTGGGACCCTGGGAGCCCCAGGAGGCCCCAGAGAGCTCCAGGAGGCCGCAGAACGCCCAGGACAGGCCCCAGGGGTCCCCAGGAGATTCCCAGGAGGCTCCCAGGAGGCTCCAGGAGGCCTCCTATCAGAATGTGTCAAGTTAATACAAATCCGGTGTCGATTCGTTGATTTGTCCTGCTCTTGTGCTCCCCCGCATTTTGAGGGGCCCAAACGGCCACAGGTTAGATATCCCCCCTGGGAGGAGGCTTCAGGAAGCCCCAGGTGGAGTTCAGGAGGCCACAAGAGGCCCAGGAGGAAACCCCAGGAGGTCCCCAGGAGGCCCCAGGAGGCACTAAGAGGCCCCCGCAACTCAGAGTTCTGAGACGCCGCGCTCGAGGTGGTCCGGCCCGTTTCGCCTGAGACTTCCTCGCAGCACGTTTCGCCCGAGACACCGGCCCGTCTCGCTTGAGACATCCTTACAACTCTGAGCTCTGAGATGCCGATCGCAAGTTGGTCCGGCCCGTTTCGCACAAGACATTCTCGCAACTCTGAGCTCTCAGATGCTGCGCAAGAGGTGGTCCAGCCTGGGGGCCCAGAAGACCACATGTTACAGATCCTTCCTGGGACCCTGGGAGCCCCAGGAGGCCCCAGAGAGCTTCAGGAGGCCGCAGGAGGCCCAGGACAGGCCCCAGGGGTCCCCAGGAGATTCCCATGAGGCCCCAGGAGGCCCCAGAAGGCCCCCGATCAGAACGTGTCAAGTTAAGACGAATCCGGTGTCGATTCGTTGATTTTTCTTGCTCTTGTGGCCTCCCCCCCATTCTGGGTGGCCCCGACGGCCACATGTTAGATATCACCCTGGGAGCCCCAAGAGGCTTCAAGAAGCCCCAGGCGGGGCCCAGGAGGCCACAAGAGGCCCAGGATGAAGCACCAGGAGGTCACCAGGAGGCCCCAGGAGGCCCCAAGAGGCCCACGCAACTCGGAGCTCTGAGATGCCGCGCTCGAGGTGGTCCGGCCCGTTTCGCTTGAGACTTCCTCGCAGCACGTTTCGCCCGAGGCATCGTCGCAACTCTGGGGCCCGATATGCCGCGCGCGAGGTGGTCCAGCCCGTTTCGCCTGAGACATCCTCGCAACTCTGGACTCCGAGATGCCTTGCGCGAGGTGGTCCGGCCCATCTCGCCTGAGACATCCTCGCAACTCTGAGGTCTGAGATGCCGTGCGCAAGGTGGTCCAGCCCGTTTCGCACAAGACATTCTCGCAACTCTGAGCTCTCAGATGCTGCGCAAGAGGTGGTCCAGCATGGGGGCCCAGAAGACCACATGTTACAGATCCTCCACGCCCAGGACAGGCCCCAAGGGTCCCCAGGAGATTCCCAAGAGGCTTCCAGGAGGCCCCAGGAGGCCCCCTAGCAGAACGTGTCAAGTTAATACACATCTGGTGTCGATTCGTTGATTTTCCCTGCTCCTGTGCCGCGCCCCTTATTTTTAGGGGGGACCGACGGCCACATGTTAGATATTCCCTTCTTGGAGCCCCAAGAAGCTTCAGGAAGCCCCAGGTGGGGTCCAGCAGGCCACAGGAGGCCCAGGATGAAGCACCAGGAGGTCACCAGGAAGTCCCAGGAGGCCCCAGGAGGCCCCCGCAACTCGGAGCTCTCAGACGCCGCGCTCGAGGTGGTCCGGCCCGTTTCGCCTGAGGCTTCCTCGCAGCACGTTTCGCCCGAGACATCGTCGCAGCTCTGGGGTCCGAAATGCCGCGCGCGAGGTGGTCCAGCCCGTTACGCTGGAGACATCCTCGCAACTCTGGGCTCCGAGATGCCGTTCGGGATGAACAGGAGGTGGAGAAGGAGGAGGAGGACGAGGAGGAGGAGGAGGAGGAGGAGGAGGAGGAGGAAGGAGGAGGCATGTTTTAACATGCCATGCCAGCCCGCACTGGACGGGCACGCAATCGACCTTGGAAACCGCAGTAGGTCTAAAAACCCTGTTTGGGGATACCGCTCCGGCTATAATTTTGATAACCCCGGGGCTTGGCGAGGGTCTCCGGAGGCCGAAAACGGTCAAGAAACCCGCGCCGCGATTTTTTGCCACGACGCGCCATCATGTCTGGACTTGCCCCGTCCCCCTGTCTCAGGAGGGGAACACACAGACACAAATAGTCGTCGATTCTCTGGAGAATCTGGATGCACTATGGGAAGTGGAGGGGAGGCGAACGCCCAGAAATACGGAACATGTTTCGGGATTCTGGGATGTGTACCTGTTCGTTTGGGTGCCCCTGCCCTGACCTTCCAGGAGGGCTAAAAAATATCACCCGACTCAAAAACCTATCCCAAAGCTGTTCTACGTCTTGGTTTTAGGCTGTTTCGCTCCGCTTTTTAGGTTTTTAGGTCTCCAGTGCGAAAAAAGAGCTCTCTGGAAGGTCAGGGATGGGCTCCTCCCCCCACCCCTGCCGCCCCGCCCGAGAGGACGGGCGGCTTCCTCCTCCTCCTCCTCCTCCTCCTCCTCCTCCCTCCTCTCCTCCTCCTCCTCCTCCTCCTCCTCCTCTCCTCTCATCCTCCTCATCCTCCTCTCCTCCTCCTCCCTCCTCCTCCTCCTCCTCCTCCTCCTCTTCCTCCTCCCATGGGCTCCTCCCCCCACCCCTGCCGCCCCGCCCCGAGAGGACGGGCGGCCTCCCGCGGGGAGCGCCCCCGGGAGCTCCTCGCACGGCGCCGCCGCCCTCCAGGACGCGCCGCTGCCGGGCCAGAGGGTCCTTCTGTCCGTGATGGGCAGGGACGTGTGGGTGCTTAGGGCCAAGGACTCAGAGCGTGAATTACCTACCCCGCTTTCGCTTCCAGGCAAAACCAAGCCATACCACGCGCCTCCTCGTCAAGCGGCCTGACCAGTACAGGCTGCAATTTGGCATCGTTTGGTATCTCTTGGAAGCGAGGTGGTCAAAAGCGAGGTAGGTTTGTTTTCCCCCTAAGGACAGGGGGGATGGGCACAGGGGGGGAGGCATCGAGCAGGGGCGGACCAGGCAGACGGCGGGGATGATAGGAACACGGGGGGGCACACGCCGAGCAGCAGCTCCCGGCCGTGCGCTTGCCTGCCCTGCAGCGCCGATTCGGCCCCCCGCCTCTCCACCCTCCGCGTGGCGGGTGCCCGCGCGGCACCCTCTGCGCGGGAGGTGCGGGGGCCAGGGGCGACGACAGGGAGGGAGGGGCACAGGGGGGCGCATTGACCCCCAATCGCCCATCGCCGATAGGGGTCTGATAGCCCCACGCCGCCCAGGAGGGTGCGGATTCGCGATCGGGGACCTCTCGCCGATCTATCGGCGATGTATCGCCGATTCCAGGCCGATGTTCCCCCCCCTAGGCCAGTCCCACCCAGTCGTTGCCCCTCGAGGTGTACGCGCCCCAGTCGACCTGGCTCAGCAATCTCGGAGGGGGCTCCCTCGAGACAACGACGGCCCTCCCTGGCGTGCCCAGGCCTGCAGCGTATGTACAGATGCAGTATAGAGGTGCTTCGTAGTCTTAAGCTTCGGGGGCCCTCCCTGGGCCCCCAGACTTTTAAACTGCGCAGGATGAAAAACCAGTCCCAGGAAATGGTCGAGACCTTCCAGGACCCCGTGTTGAAAAACACAATGCATCGGATCTCTGGGCGTTTCCCTGAGATCCTGGCGCCTTATTGTTACGAGCCATGCGTGTTCGCTTAGATTTGGGCCCGGGAACCCTCGCATATCGATCCGGCGCGAAAAATGGCGCAGAAGGACGGGCTTTTGGGCTCCAGTCTCGATTTTTCATGATGTCTCAATTTTTCTCAGACGTCGGATTTCAGGGCTCCTGGAGGCTTCTTGTCACAGCGGCCAGGTCCGCCTCGAGAAAGGAGACCGGGGGCCCGGGGGCCGATTTTGAGCGGATTCGGGCAGGCGGGAGGCCGCCGTTGTCTCAACCGGTTTTCCTCCGACAATCAGTCTCTGCCCGCGGTGGTGGTGCTGCACGGCACTGGAGACTACGCTCTGTCTATTGCGGGCACCACGCGGTTCGAGGAGCTCGCGGAGTCGTCCCCGAGGCCCTTCCTCGCGGTGTTCCCAGAGATGTCCACGCCGGGGGGGGAGATGTGGGGCTACATGGCCGATCCTCGGAGGAGGAAAAACGGCGCAAACATAAATTGTCGGAGGTCCGCGCGGATTTTTTGGAACGGCGCTGGGCGGCCCCTGGCGGCGCCTCCGGTTTGCCAGGGAGGGGTCCAGCGCCGATCCAAGAAACTTGCGCGGATTTCCAAAAGTTTTTGCTTCTGGCAGTTTTTTCTTCTTCGACGTCTGCCCTTCTTCCGCGCCATCCGGGACAGCCTGGGCGATCGGTTTCCCCTCGAGGAGGGCGAGGTCTACGTGTGCGGCCACTCCGCGGGCGGGAGCATGTCCATCTTCCTTCAGGATGGGAAATCAAGACACAGACACAAATAAGCGTCGATGCCGCGGAACATATGGGAAAATATCGGAAGAATGGGGAAAAACGAAGACCCAGAATATACGCAAAAACACTGGGAATCTTGGGATTGTGTAGATTGCAAAGGGCCTTACGGCCAGTGCCGCCGACACTGAAGGGAGACGACGACGACAACAGCGGCGGCGGCGGCAACGACGACGACGCTGACGTGGGCCAGAGTCCTCAGGGATGCTTCGTGGGGTCTCTTTGGAAGTCTCTCGGGGGCCTCTGGGGAGGAATTTTGGGGCCTCTTGGGAGTCTCTTGGAGGCCTCTTTGGAGCCTCTTAGGGGCCTCTTCGGGCTTCCTGGTGACCGTTTGTGGGAACCTCCTCTTGGGGTCTCCTGGTAGCCTCCTCGGGCGGAGGGCTCGAAATATCCGTTCGGGTACCCTATCTGGGCACGCTCGTGGAGCCGTCTTGGGGGCCCCTTGGGCCGTCTTGGATGCGTTTTGGGCTGTCTTGGGGTCTTCTTGGGTGGTTTTGCGGCCCTCTTGGAGGCCTCTTGGGCCGTCTTGGGGCGATCTTTGGGGCCTTTTGCGCCGTCTTGGAGCGGCGGGAAGTGGATAAGGCGAGAACGGCCAAATCTTTAGAACTCCATCAGGGAATCAATGACTTTGGCCTCTTGGGGCCCTCTCGGGAGTGCTCTTGGAACCATCTTGGGGTGTCCTGGAGGTTTCCTCGGCAGTCTGGGGAGCGTGAAGGCGTTTTGGGCCGATCGTTTGGCGATTCGGGACCCTCTTGGACTGTCTCGGGGGCCTCTTGGGGCACTCTTGGCCTGTCCTGGTTCTTCCTCGGGCCTGGGGCCCCCCCATGGGGGGGATGCGTATCTGAACCCCCCCCCCAGGACCCCCCCCCGACGGGGGAGGGATCAGAGGGAAGAGGCTTCGCTTCGACTCGATTACGAGATTGCTAGATTTCTCTTTCGCTGACAAGCTTGAGGAGGAGGGTGCAGGGAAAGGGGACGACGGAGACGACGACTGACGGAGACGACGACTCGAACTGACAAGCCCCTCACACACGCCGACAGGGTCGGTGGATGACGGGAAGCGCCTTCTCGGAACGAGACGGTGATGGGAGCTTGTTAGAGGAAGCTACATACCCGCGATTGCAAAAGTTGACGGGAAGCGCTTGCCTGGAACTAGACGGTGATGGCAGTGTGTCAGGCTATGCCGAATACAGAGAACATGAAGAACGAACTCGCGAGGGACAATTAGCTCGCGGCCGTAATGATCAACCGCTTGGCGGATGGCTGGAAGAGCCTTCTCGGAACGAGAAGGTGATGGGATTGTGTTAGTTTGTTCGGCTCTGATGAATAAGTAATACATGGAAAAAACAAATCGCGAGGGACAACTGGCTCGCCATTGAAAACTGGAAATCGCTTGGCGGATGACGGGGAGCGCCTTCTCAAGGCCTTGGGTCGAGCGTTTCTGGCGATTCTCATCGTGTCAGCGGGGTCGCGAGCCCCCGCCCAGCATGCCTCCCACTCGATGGCAGTACATGATGTGTCTCGTTGCTCTTCTTCTCGCCATCGCTAGCCGATTCAATCCACGCTGGAGGGCCGAGCTTTCGGTGACGGCACGGTCACCGTGGAGCTCCGTGTTGTCACATGATACCGATGACGGGAACGAGCCAGTGCATAGCATCAGATGCTACCACCGTGCCCGGCGTGCCACTCGCCAGAGGGCGAGCGTGGTCGTGGTCCGATCTCTATGAAGGCTAGCAAGGTCTGCCCCTGGCTGCACAACAGAGCGGACATCGCGCTCACCAGATGGCTCGCGTGGGACCCGTCAGTGACCAAGCGGCTCGGTTTTCGCGTGCCTACATCTGGTGGTTTGCGGTCGACTACACCAATAAATTCCGCGACCTTCGGATCAAGCAGCATGGGGAGTTGGCGCGGCATTCCTCCGTGGCTCGTGAGAGCCGACAATGATCGCAGTGCTTAGACTCGGCCAAGTATTGTTGCGCTCGCCCTGGTGAGGTTTCAGCTGTTGCACAATGTAGTTGTGTGTGTTTCCAGCGCTGGCGTGCCTCCTGCCTTTTCCCTGTCCTCAGGCTTGCTGCGCCGGCGACTTTGAGTTTGGCTCGCCCGCAGCCCGCGGACAGGTGGTCGATCTGACTGTCTGCCGCCGTCGTTTTTTTGCCATCCTGGAGCGTTGCCGACTTTGCACTGCTAGAAGGGGGGGGGGGGGGTCCGGCATCGCTGTTCCATGCTTCTCTGCGCCTGCCGCGTTGCGCCGCTTGAGTTTCCCTGCCTGCCGCCAGTCCCCTGGTCAGAGGGCCAGGCGCTGACGTGGAGCTTCCCGCCAGCGGGCGGCGCGCTCCGTGCGCGGCGTCTGTGGATGCGCACGCGCGCGGATTGACCACGCAGTTGGCCTTGCGATTGCTCAGTAGACCTCTTGACCCGGGGTTGCGGCTCCAACAAAAGCGCCTTCTCGGAACGAGGGGGTGATGGGAGCTTGTCAGGCCATGCATGCTAGTTACTAATGAAGAGCAGAGACGTGAGGGGCCCACGGGTGCAAATGAGCGCTCGCTCGGCGGAAGACGGGAAACGATTTCTCGGAGGGAGGAGGTGGTGGGAGGTTCCTGGGCCCAGGGGGGTTACAAATTATCAATAATAACAGAGACGCGAGGGGCAGCGAGCTCGCGATCGCAAATGAGTTTCCGCCTGGCGGATGACCGGGGACGCCTTCTCGGAACAATAAGCTGATGGGAACTTGTCAGGGGAAGCTGGTTAAGGAACACAGAAATGACAAACTCGCGAGAGACCCTTGGAACGATATTGCATAAGAATGCACGTTCGCCGGATGACGGGCAGCGCCTTCTCATAACGAGAAAATGTTGGGAGCTTGTTAGAAGCAGAAGAAGGAGGCAAGCAACTCGCGAGGGACACCTGGCTCGCCGTCGACAAAGGTTGGTCGTTCGGCGGATGACGGGAAGCGCCTTCTCGGAACGAGAAGGTGATGGGAGCTTTCTGGCATTGCTGAATCAGACGAGTTGCGCGTTTTCCGCGAGCTTGAAGGAGTTCCCACTCTCTACAAAGATGCTGCGTTTTCTATCCATCCGTTTAAGTACGTTGAACGCGTGCAGGATGGTATCAAGCGAAACCTCTTTAGGCTGAGTCTCAGACGGACTGAAAGGGCCCCCCCCCCCCATATTTCGCGAAGAAGAAAGACGAGACAATTAGGGGCATCTTGGCTTGTAGGCGGTCTAATCAAAATTTCAAGGATCCCCCCACATGTGCATCTTTTCTCGGGAGCTAGCGTCTGCGAGGTACATGCTGAGCCAGGGGGGAACTGTTTTTTGTGGTGTTGATGTACAGAACGCTTTCTACCAACATGAGATGCCAGAATGGTTATCATATTATTTTGGTTGGGATGCTGTCTTGGCGAAGGATCTAGGTGTAACTAGCATAGAGGGCGTCTCCGTGGACCCAGGCGCTAAGTTGTTCCCGCTGCTCAAGGTTGTCCCGATGGGCTGGAAGTGGGCCCTGCACATCGTTCAGCGCGTTCGTGAACGCGTCCTCGAGCAGGGCCCCGCGCTTGAAGAGAGTCGGCGTGCAGGTGACTTCCGACCTCCCCTCCCACGCACGAGCAGGTCTTTTACTCGCTGCATGCTGATAATGTGTTGGTGGAGGGACACACTGCAGATGAGGTGGGTAGGATGGGGAAGCGAGCGGCCGAGCTGTTCGAGAATGCCGGCTACGCCGCGCACGATTTCAGCGAGGCATCGGCGCGCATGAGCACTCTGGGTGTCGAGCAAGACGGCGCACCTTTCTCCGACTCGCCATTCGAAGCTGTGGTTTGCCATCCAGGTATTGTTAAAATCAATGAGGATCACCAGTAAGCAGATGGAACGCCTCCTGGGACATCTCGCGTTCATCGCCCTCCTGAGGCGCGACCGCTTGTGTTCCCTAAGGGCATGTTCGGCTTTCGTGTCGGCCAAGTCTATGGGGCCCTGGTCCCTCTGGTCCAGTGTGGAGCGCGAGTTGAAGATGGTGCAAGGCCTGTTGATTTTTGCTCGGGGGCACTTGGAGTCTGCTTGGGGCCCGAGGGCGACCGCGCTCGACGCCCGCGAGAGCGGGCACGCGACGGTGGAGAGCACCGCCAATCTAGAGCAGATTCGGCAGATCGGTGCCTGCCACGAGCGCTTGCGACACAAAAGAGGAGGCCGCGTTGAAAACCCCCTGCCTACCAGCCTCGGCAACGGGTTTTCTTGGACATCGCAAAGGAAAAGCACGAGGATCCGAATGATAACGACCCAGATCAGAACCTGTGCTCCCTGAGGTGCCCCACAGGTTCGTAGAGGGCCTGACCTGGAAGACCACAAATTACCAGCCCATCTTCAATCCAGAGGCTATCCACCATTCGGAGATGCGGGGTTTTCTTGGTGCCATTCGTAAGCGACTCTTGGATGATCAGTCCGGGCGGCGCAAGAATCATCTTGTTCTTGGGGACGCTGTGGGGCTGATGTTATTTCTGTCAAAGGGGCGATGTCGTAGCCCTACTCTCCTGATGTTGCATCGTCGAACGGCCCCTGGGACGTTTGCCATTGGCTCGAGGTTTCTTGGCCGGTGGTTGCCGTCGGAAGTCAACCCGGCGGACGGGCCGTCCAGGAGGCGCGAGGCGACGCGCGACTTGGGCAGCTGTTGGCGATCGGCACCTCACGAGATCTCTTACCCATATCCGTCAACCGAACCCACAGGAAGAGATTGCGACTCGGAGTCATTTGAGACGAGGGAGCCAGAGTGTGATAGCGTGTCGGGAGAGGTCCCTTCTGGTCCCTCGAGCGCGGCCGACGACTGGAGCAGGGCAAGCTGCGCCAACCGAGGACCTGAAGGTGTCCGTGGCGATCCTGGCCGCTGCGCCTGGCGCTGGCAGGGGGCGCCCCATTCTGGGGCGGCTCGAGCGGGCCGCCGACCTCAGCCTGAACGAGATCGAGGACGAGCACCTGGCAAAGGCGGCCTTCCGTCTGAAGAAGTACGGCGAGCTTCGGGACGCCAGCCAGCAGCGCGGGATCCTGGAGCAAGCTTCGCTGCAGCCCCAGGCGCGAGCCCAGCGCGCGGACTACATCGACGAGTTCCTGCTCGCGGAGGGCCTGAAGGACTTGGATGTCGCGCCGCCCGTGCTGGATGCGATGATTGCGCATCACGTGGACAGGATGTTTCTGGAGGGGAAGGCTGCGGGCTCTGGCGAGAAGCTGCTGGTGGCGGTGCAGTGCTACGTGCCCGCGCACGGCAATCGGGGAGAGGCTGTGCTCCCTCGGACTGTGCGAGCACTTCGAGGACGGCGACGGTTGGTGCCAAGCCGCGCGCGGAGGCCGCCCCCATGGCGCCCGGTGGCGGGGACCGCGACGGGCCTGATGCGAAAGCACGGGGTGGATTACGCCTTGTGCTGGCTGCTGATGGTGGACGCCCACCTTCGCCCCGGAGAGCGCCTGTCCCTGCGCCCGAACCAGCTGCTGAAGCCGACGACTCAGGAGCGCATGACCAGCCTGGCTATCCTATTTCATCCCGCGGAGGACGGGGCCCCGAGCAAGACAGGGGCCGTAGATGAGAGCCTGCTGATAAACAGGCAGTGGCTCGCCCAGCTGTTGGTGGACTACTCCGAGACGCGGCCCACGCAGGGCCCCCTCTGGAAGTTCGACCTCATCAGGATGCGCGAGAACTCCCTCGACGTTTGTCTCGAGCTGAAGCTGCAGCAGTGGGGCCCCGTGCTCTACATGGGGCGACGCGCCAGAGCGCCCCTCGACCGCCTAGAGAACAGGGTGAGCCTGTCCGAGGTGCAACAGAGGGGGCGATGGCGGTCCACCGCCAGTGTCAGGCGGTACGAGAAGCGGGCGCTGGTCCAGTAGGTCTGCAGCAGCCTCGGGGCCGGCGCGCGCAGGTTTTGCTTCACCACCGAGAAGTCGCTGTTGGCCGTGCTCGAGAGGCGCGTAGGCCAGCTCCACCGCGCCAGAGCGTCCGACAGAACACGAGCGCCTTTCGCATTGAGGTTTTCAGTGGTCAGGGCGAGTTCACAAAGGCTGTTTGCCGCCAGGGCTGCTAGTGTTTCAGTTTTGACGTACTTCAAGGGCCTGGGGGAGATCTGTTTTGAAAAGCTGTCCAGAGGAGGCTTCGGCTTCTCATCCAAAGCCCTCAGTGTTTCGGTGTACTCCTGGCGCCTCCTTGCACGACGTTTAGCATTGCCAGACGGCCCGCCATTCGTACCCGAGAGTATGTATACAGCGTGCCCAACTGTTGTGAACGTGATCGTCTTAAACGCGAACAGGCCAACTATCTCGTTCACCAAACTGTCCTTTCATGTAAACTGTGAATGCAGTTCTGTGTGCCGTTCCTGTTAGAAAACCTGCATACCAGTCTCCTTTGGCAAGTTCCAGAAATAAGAAAACTTCTTGCCAACCCAGAGGTTGGTTGCAATACCTTTATTATGTGTGGATATGGTGCTCGGTGGCGCAAGGCAACCTCGGTTATGAGTTTCGGCATCTCCAACATATCGTCGATCGTTCGTGTGTGCCAGAGATGTCCACCAGCGCCATGCAGTTTCTCTAAGCAACCGCATATCCTTCTCTCCGGCGCTGACCCGTCAGGAGTCGAGTGGACTCGACGGGCGGCCGCGTATCCTAGACGCTTGGCCACCCAGATGGCGACCTTGTTCGTTGATACTGCCTTCACTGAGGAGCTTGAAAAGCAACGAGATTGGTTCCGTCTGCGACCTGGCCTTGTTCGCTCGTGATCCTGATGTCTTGTGCTCCTCTTCTTTTTCCCCGACCCGCCCTCCCTGTGCCCCTTCGTTATACTTGCGAATTTTGGAGCGCTGTTGTATATCAAGAGCGCTGCGCGCGGGGTTTCACGAGTTTGGATCGTTGGTGCTGCACCGTGTGAACAGAGATGGGTTCAAAAACAAACGAAACGGAGATGATAGGTATGCTGGCACGGGATTTATCTGAGTTGAAGCGGTTTGCTCTCTCCGTAGTTCCCTTTCTCTCCCACCTTACGGTCCCTGTTCCCTCCCGAAAGATTAAGGCTCACGTACCTGGACCTCGCAAGTCTGGCACCCAGCAACTTTTCAAGCCTGCGTTCCGTGGCGGAGCACTGTTGTATATCAAGGGCGCTGCGCGCGGGGTTCCACGAGTTTGGATCGTTGGTTCTGCACCGTGTGAAGAGAGAGATGGTTTCAAAAACAAATCATATGGATATGAAAAAAATCCAATAGGCGCCCCTGAGGACCCTAAGAGCGCCCACGCACACCCCAAGAAACCCTTCATCATCGTCACCATCATTCCAAACATGACCGTGATGATGACGATGATGGTGGCGATGATGCTTATGATGTTGATGATGACGATGCCGATGTTGATGTTGATGTTGATGATGATGATGGTGACGATGGTGATGATGATCATGACCATCATCAGCATGTCAGCAGCAACATCATCGTCATCATCGTCATCATCACCACCACCATCGTTACCATCATCATCGTCATTAACATCAACATTAGCAACATCATCGTCACGTCACCATCATAGACATTATGAACGTCATCGCCATCGTCACCATCATCGTCAGTGTCATTGCCATCGTTGGTTGCCACACGACGCAGTACACAACGCATTCAACACACAACACACGACACACCCCCAGCACGCAAGTGACCATATAGAGACGTAGACCACGCACAGACTATACTCATGCCGTACATCCCCCCGCCCGTCCCCCCAGAACACATCCCGCACGCCCACCATACACCCCTCCGCCCGTCGCCCCCGGAACGCACCCCGCACGCCCACCGTACCCCCCCCCCTCCCGCCCGCTCCCCCCCAGAGCACACTCCGCACGCACGCCCTACACCCTCCGTCCTGCACGCCCAGCACACACCCTGCACACACAGCAGCACACACGCACACAGCCGCACACACAAGCACACAGACACACGAGCACACGCACACGCGCACTCACACACGTGCACAGGCAACGCGCAACACCTGACCAAAGCAAGCGCAGGCAACCACTAAACGTAAGCGACCGATGGCAACCATCTGGGCATGCAGGGGATCACAGCGATTGCACCCCATGCTCATCCATGCTCACACATGCGTGTTGGGCCAGGCGCCCCGTACGCACACCGTGCACCCCCTCCCTCCGCCTCCCTGGCGCACACCCTGTGCACGCCCGCGCACACACGCGCACACAGCCGCACACAGCCGCACACAGGCACACGCAGGCACACACGCACACACGTGCACATGCACATACGTACACACAAGCATAGGCCGCGCGCAGCACCTGACCAAAGCAACCGCAGGCAACCACTAAACACGAGCTACCAACGGCGACCGTCTGGGCATTCAGGGGGGCCCAGCGACTGCATACCTGTGCACGCATGCGCGTTGGTTGCAAATTCATGCGCGCGTGCGCACGCAAGCTCAGAGCAGCGGCGCTCCCCGTTCTTGTCCGGATAGGTTTCTGTGTGTCGCCCTGGGCACCTCTATCACTGCAGAACCGCTTGCCGGGCGTCTTCCGCGGCGCCGCGGCCGTGGAGGCGGGCATCGGCGGCGAGGAGTGGTGGGACGAGGAGAGCCCCGGCAGGCCCACGATGCTGGTGTTCAAGGTATAAAAAACCACCCTAGCCCCCATCATTGGCGTTTAACAGACGGCCCCGGGCTTTTGCTGAGCAGCCCTGTCCTGTTCGATCCCTTCCTTTGGTGAGTTCACTAAATGGCTTCGCTTGTCGGAGTGCTTCTTGTGAGGTTTTTTGGGGTTCTCAAGGTGTGGAACCACAACGACCCCGTGCTCCGCGAGTACGGCGGGGAGTCGCTGCTGAACCGGACCCGAAGAAGAGCCAACTGCACAAGCATGAGCTTGCGAGGCTCCACGCGGAGTTCTTGGATCGGCGCTGGGCCCCCCTACAGCGGCGCCTCCAGCACCGCCCCTGGCGCGCCCCGCGCGTCGGGGAGGGTGGTCTGGCGCCGATCCAAGAACTCTGCGCGGACGTCCGAAAGTGTGTGTTTGTGCAGTTCCTTCTTCCGCTAAGGACGCTGAGCAAGCTTTCGCGCCATGCAACCTCTGCAGACCAGCGGCCGTCCTTCTCGATGCCGGTGGCCACGTCCAACGCCTCGGTCGTCAGGCGCGCCGAGCAGCTGCTCTACGGGGGATCGACCCACGCCCCGCCGCTCGCCGTGGTCTCCTGGGAGACGGCGCTGCCCACCCACCTCTGGTCGAGCCCGGTCAGCGTACCGGGCTCGTTCGACGCGTCTGCGCTCGTCTGGGATTTCTTCCAGAGCACGCGGGTCTTCGAGGGGAGGTCGCTGTAGCGCTGGGGTGTTCCACCCGGCGGCCCCTGTGGTCCACCACGCGCTCGTGCATTTGGAATCTGAGGGACCTTGCCCGAAGGCCTCTGCCGGGTGAGGTGGCAGGCGCCCCAGGCCGATGGCGCTGCCACGAAGGCGCCTGGACGGAGTCGAGGACGACCGAGGTCGTGTTATCCAGGGCGCCTCCGGAGAGTCACCGCCGCCGCCAGTTTCGTGACCCGCCACCAAAAACTGGCACCCGCCAAAAAGGGCCGAAGGAGCTGACGCCTGCTTCTCTGCGGAAGGCCGGCGAGAGGCGGCGGACGCAAAACGGCGGAGGGCGGCGGATGGCCGGCGGCGACTGGAGCCCCCCAGGGTCCCAGAACCGTGTGGTGACGGACCGTGCGGTGAGGTCTTTGCGGATTTCGAGGTCACGGGTCTGTCACCACACGGGGTCGGGGCCCCCAAGTGACTTAGGGGGGGGCGCCATGCCGGTGCTGTCGGCGGCCAGCAGAGGGCGAGGGGCCCTCGGGGCCTGGCGCTGCAGGGAGCAGGCCGCACGTGAACGGGGCGTGCGACGGGCGGGCAGATCTACGGTCGGGAGTTTCTGCTCAGCGGGTCGCGGTGCCAGTTCTGGCCCACCGCGCCTCGGCGCGACACGCTAACCTTACGTCGGGCATGTCCATGCACAGGAGGACTATTCAAAGATAGTCCAACAATAGTATGGGACGGATGTTTCGATTATTGTTTACCATGTTCGAACATGTTTTGGCTATTTTAAATTTTTCCTCCAACATCTGCCTGTAGCGGCATGCCCGAGCTAACGCCAACTTGTTCGGCGATTGCCCAAGGGCGCTGCCAGAAATGAGGCGCATGCGACCCACTATGCCCTGCAAGCTTATAGCGTGTCGCTCCGCTCTGCGGGACGGGCGGTTGGGAAAGGCTCGGGACATTGACGCCTGGGGACTGGCACGTGGGGGCCATCATGGCGACGTCCTCGGGGCACTTGTGCTGCTCGGGAACGTGTTGGGGGTCCGCGGGGTTGTCGAGGCGACCCAGGGTGCCAGGCATCTTCGGGGCGGCTAGGTCACGTGGGGCTGGTGTACCTTGCAGGGCGAGCATTGGGGTTCTTCTTGGGCTATATTGGGCCCTCCTGGGGACATCTTGGAGCTAGCTTGGAGTTATGTGGAGACCCCTGAAGCCCATCAGATGCAGGTATGGCGGGAACCAGCATACGGTCAGAAGCTGTGGTTTCGCATAATCGCGGCGGCGGCCCCGGCAACACGCTACATATGCCTTGGCAGCTGATAGCGTGTCGCTCCGTTTGGCGGGACGGGGAGCTGAGAAAGGCTCGGGATGTTGACGCCTGGGGACAGGGACTTGGTTAGCGTGTCGCGCAGAAGCGCGATGGGCCAGAACTGGCGGCGCGATACGGTAAGTAAAGTTCCCGACCGTTATCGTTGAAAGACATTAAAGGTGGTTCAATGCATTTGGCGGCAAGGGTCTGGCGGGTTGCGTGGTCAGAAGATCGAGGTTAGCGGGTGCGACGTGGAGCGGATGCACCAAACCAGGACATCGATCTCGATTCGTGTTGTGCGTGACGCGCGTACGGGCTAGGCGAAGCTGTGCGACGGCGACAGCGATCCTGCCCTGACGGGCGGGGGCTCACGTCAGGTAGAGTCTCTCCGCCCCGCGCCGGCTGGGGCGCTCGTGGATTGTCCCACTGGTTGCCATGGCGGTTCGGTACAATCGACATGGGTGCGAAGACCGGCAGCAGTTTCTGCCCATTCTGACCAGGACTCCCTGTTGGAGTCGCGGCGGACGTTGTCCACTTGAAACGCCGCCTGCCCAGCAGCGGCCGCTGTCAGTTTTGGACAACATTTGCAGTTGGGCCTGATTTCGGGCGTGTCAAGCGGTTGTGTCCGTGATTGTCCCGTGGTTGTTTGGTGTTTTTGTCGGATGGTTGTCCCGATGACTGTCCCGCTGTTGTCCCGTGTTTGGCCCGTGGTTTGTCCGGCTATCCCGTAGTTGTCCCGCGATTGTTTTGTGGTTGTTTTGTCGGCGTCCAGGGCCAGGTAGTGAAGCCGGTGGATAGCGAGGTCGAGAGGTAGATATTGCGAATCCGAGCGGACGCAAATCTCAAACTGCAGCTGCACCCATCCCCTGTCGCCAACCTCTTTATCACCCGAAGGTTGGTTTATGATGACCTTTGAAATATTTGCTCGAGTTCTTTGCGCCATCCCCCCTGACACGTTCGAGCGAAAAAAAAAACATACACCTCTCTGGGTTCACGGCGCGGGACACATACATTGGCCATGGTGCCTTTGGTGCTAACTTGCACGCGCATCCAGATACGCTAGGATCTTGATCCCCCAACTTGGCGTTCCTGCTCGAGGACCGGCGGATGCATGTTTTTTTTTATAATGCTGGGGGCGAGCTAGATGTGTTCAGCAAGTAGTTGCAGTGCCTGGAAGTGGCTTCTCTGGCACCCGATGCTGGCCGCCCCGCAGCTCATCTCGCTGTCTTCATTCTCTTCTCCTGCTCTCCCAAATCCTGCCGCTTTCGGCGTCTGCATGTTATTTGTTGTGTTGGAATCGTGGGTGTACATAGGAAGTGCATGTTTTGCGGCCGCGTGCCCGCGGGAGAGGAGGGATAAGTTGAGCACAGTCTCGTCGCCCATGCTCTTCCGCGTGCAGTGTTTTGGGCGTTACCCTCAGCGGCAGGCACAAGGGGAAGGGGTGCCGCCGAGGCGAGACGTTAGCCGTTACGAGTGCGAGGGTCGGGATGTGGTCCATGGTTATGATGTTCCAACCTACTTTAGCCCTGACCACCAGAAAGAATTTAGAGCTCCAAGAAAGTACCGAAACTGGAGGGTTTTCACATGTCGGGCCCTGCGACCCGATACTCGTTCGACACTGTTTCGGTATTTTTCTGGGTTCATGAAATTATGTTTGGGGTGTGGTCCTTAAGTACGATGGGAGCAATAAAGTCCACAGGATAATTTATCGAATGCGTCGCGGCCGTGTGCTGGTGAACCCGAGGCTGGCAAGCTCATTGGAATGAGATTCCTGCCGGGCAGCGTTCACCTGCTCTCAGCTGCCCTCGCTCGTCGTCGTCCTCCTCTACACCGTCCTCGTCCTCCTCTCGCTCTCCGTGCCGATTCTCCTCGTCTTCAATATTATACTGCCCCTCCTTTTTCCTCCCGCTCTCCGTGCTGATTCTCCTCGTAATATTACTCTGCCCCTCCTTTTTCCGTTCGCTCCGCATATTAGGCCTCGATTGCCAGGCGTGCATTCTGCATTGTATGTGCTTTGCGCCATGCACCGTCGCGGGAACCAGTGCAAAAGAGCTTTGGTTTCTATGTGTTGATTCCCGCATCATACCCTTGTTCTTGAGTTCTCTGAAACGTTTTGCCTGGCAGTCGTCTACGCCCCTCCGCTCATAGATGAGGGGGGGGGGCAGTCAGCTATTTGAGGGCTTCCTTCGAATACAGATGCTGCTTCATTGAAGAAGCAAAGAAGCAAGTCCCTCGAGTTCCATTGGGCGGTTTGTTTATTACTCGTTTGAGAAGTCGCCTCTGCTTTGAACTCCTTTCAAGCATTTTAAGCAACCCAGGGCAAGCTCGAACATTCCAGCAGACCATGTTCGACGCCCGCGAGCGCTCTCAAAGAGGAGTGGCCGGGGACGCGCGTGCGTTCTAATACGCTGTGGCGCACTCTTCCGTCGTCAGCTTCGTCATGGCTCTGCTGTAGACGAGCGTGCAGTTTGGCCAGTTCCGACTCCGTCTCGCGCAGTCCTCCGTTTCTTCTGCCCCTTGGGTCTTCCCCTCGCGCCCGTCCCGTCCCGCCCCTCTTGGCTGCAGCTGTGGGAGTAGTGCTTGGGGGCCTTGGGGGAAGATATGCTCATCGCCTCGGCCGCTTTCACCAAGCCGCGATCTGGAGCATGAGCTCACCTGTTACCAGGATGGCTGATGCATTAGTCCATCGCAGGCGATTTCTCGCCCCCAACCCCCGCCTTTGCAAAGAAAAATCAAGCCGCTTAGAAAAGGATGGAAAATCGGAGATACACCCCAGGGGGCTGATTGGAAGCACCCCTCATCGAGGATGGACGCCCCACTGTCCTACATCCCCGAGTTGAGCTAGGGGTCGACATATTCCTTGATATTCCAGGTGATTGGTGTGCTCTAGCGTTATGCTGCGGAGCGTTTCCATGGTCACCTCTAATATGCATCTTCGCCGTGCTCTGTCGGAGCAGCAATCCGTGGTACTGCTAAGCGAAGCGAGACTACGCGATGCAGTAAGCAGTGCCCCGTCCGGGCAGCTTCGCCGAACCCGGGTTGGTGCCTCAGATTGGGCATCGCAGGGATGAATTCGCAAGTGCGACCTATTCCCCATGCACTTATCACTTACATGAGTGACTTGTCCTTTCACCAGGGCGTTCGGGAAGGATCGTGAGAATCAATGACACGCTGCCGGTGGGAGCCCATCAGCGCGTTACTCTTGGTGCCCTGGAGCCTGGTGCTCTTCCACGGTAGCACGCTGACGGGTTCCGCACGGCGGCGTGTCGTTCATCTTGTTGCTGGACCCCCGAGGTGTGCGGCCTCCCTCTTTTCCAGCCTCCATATGTATATGGTATACATATATATATATATATATACACCATATATATATACACATGTACTTATTGATTGATGTATGTATTTATGTGTTTATGTATTTATTTATTTATTTATTTATTTATTTATTTATTTATTCATTTATTTATTATATACATTTATATACAAATATACATATATATATATACATATATATATATATATATATACATATATAACCACCTCCGACAGACGGCTGCTCCACGCGGGGCCCAGAAAGCTGCGGCGGGGGGCGGCAGTCGTGGCGCCCCCTGCCTGCCAACGCTCCGGCCTCGGCCGGGGGCGCCCCCTTTTGAGCCCCCCGAGGACCCGCCAGACAGCTCTCGCGAGGGCAGCCCCCCGAACAAAAATATGGAGGAGCAGGAGGAGG